ATCTGAGATTTGGGCCGATGAAGGATTCTGTATAAGCTTCCTCTACAATAATAGAAAAACAAAAAGAAAATAAATCTTAGAGGGCTCAAAAATCTCATATACAATTTGATTTTATGCAAGAAAATGGGACAAACCTTGGTAGAAACTCCGTGACAATGGAAAGGTTTGGAGGACGAGTAACAGCCCCAAGGAAGAATACAACGTTTGGATGACGCAATCTTCGCATAATGCGTACCTTCAGATAGAGGATATTAAAAATAAGGGAAGCTAAAGGCACGAACATAAGCAGCTGCAACGTATGCCATAGTGGTTCAACCAAAATAAAAAAATGGGTAGCCTCCTCCTGATCCCAAGAATTAATTGTGAGAATTTTATGAAAAGGATCCTCTCTCACTACTATGGATTCTAGTATTATGCTTACGTTTTTGGACGAATTACAAGATATAATCTACAAACAATAATTACTAGTGATAATTTGATTGTGCTAACCAGATACTGTCCAAGTTAAGAAGTGAGATCATTGCTACCCAGATACAGTCCAGGTTAAGAAGTGAGATCATATAAAAAGGTAAGCTATCCCTTCCCTAATTAGCCTCTTGTAATGAGGAGTTTTGACCTAATTTAATATTGCAAGCACTAGCAGCTAAGGATTCTAGTAAAACAACTAAGTGAATTTATGGCTTACTTCGCTTCTGAACTCGGCCAAAGCAGCACCAGAGAAGTCCTGGTCCAAAAATTTCTTGACAGCAACTTCCTAAATCCACCGATAACAAACACAAAAAAAAAAGAAACTTGAAACCTTTCTGTGAAGAAAATCAGCTTGGGCATACACAGAAGGGCCATGAATGCATTTGTTTAAAACTAACAACACAACAGCTAATACTGATGAGAGAATGCAAAACAATACCATGGAGGCCCCTGATGCATCTGTGGCTAGTGACTGAAACAAGTTATCTAAGAGTGCTCTTCAAAGACTATTCACTTAATGAACACAATAACTGCTTTGACTGTTTAATAACCAAACATGCATCTAGGGGCTGCAATTTAGATCTTTGAACTCATCCATTAAATATAGTCCTAAGTCTTCTAAATATTAACAAATTCTACAGGTTAATAGCTTTTGAAGTTTCAAATAACAGCCAGATACATGCTCCTTAATCTTCTGAAAACTGTAAGTATCTACAGAAACTAACCGTGCCATTCCAGTCGGCATGATACACCTCTCCATAGGAACCTAACCACAATTAAATAAGCATTAGAACATATGGTTTCCAAAAAAGCTATATGCTACTTATAGTGTTAATGTCATAGCTATTCTAGTTGAAAGCAACTGTAAATGGTAGAAAGGACTATGCCGTACAAAAATCTCCCAATAAATACTAACTAGTTGCCTTCAGAAAAGGAAAGAAAATAAGATACAAACTAGATTAATATTTCAATGAAGTAAAAAAATAACTGGCAGACCACATTACCTAATCCTATTCTCTCCCCAATAACAAGATCATTCCAAGGAATTTCACATTCACCAACATCAGCATCATCAAGAACTTGAGGATCATTCCGGTAGGATGTAGAATCAAGCGATGAACTTGTACTTTCATGATCCTTAAGCCTCAGATCACACCCAGTTGATATGTCATCACTTGTATACTTTCTATGATCATGGATGTGAGATTCATTTTGGTGTACATCTACCAGAGCAGCAGCATTATGTTGGAAATCTAGTTCATTGTTGGTGTTTCTGTTTATATCCTCCACCATACTTGGTGTGAACTGATTTCCAGTGGATGTGAAAAATGGTGGAGCAGCAACTGGTGACACAAATGTTGCATTGTCTCTGCCAGACACATTTGTTGAAACAGCTCCATTGGAGCTCGATGTAGCATATGAGGAATTAGTGTTTCCATAACGAGGTTCACGGTGGAGTTTTGGAAGAAAATTTTCCATATAACTATTCTCCTTTCTCTTTGGGGCTTCATTGCAGCTGTAATTCTTCCACATCATTGGTGCAGGTGATCTACCAACCAGAGGATTATTTTTTTGTTGATGAAAGTCATCAACACTATTCAAACCTGATTTAGTGGGCATAAACAGCTTGTCAGCTCCCTTATTTTGAAATGGGTTCAGGTCCGCGAAGAGGTTTTTCGGGTCTTCCTCACTGTTTTGATTGTATGGAACTATATTCATATTCGTTCTTGAACAGTCATTTATGGCTCCTCGATTCCCCTTTGCAATTGCTGTGGAGGAAATATTCTCCAACTGACTAGAACTAGTTACGCTAGAAGGTGAAGCGCTCAAATCGACATTCCGAAGTGGCCCCAGCTTTGGGGTAGAGGAATCTGCCTTTTCAGCCTCTGGCCTTCTATCCAAAGAAGAATTATTGTTGGCCATAGAACTCTGACTACTGCCTTCACCCTCTGACATCCTTGGCGCTGAATGCCCAAATTCATTTGACAACTGAGCAGTGGGAAATTTGTTTCCATGTGAGTTATATGACTCAACGTTAGAATCCCTACCACTTGCAAAATCAGCAGGTATAAGGGTCCCAGGATCTGTCATAAGATCAACCAAGTACTCTCTGAAAAGAGGGAAAATATGTTACATCTTTGCCAAAAAATGTTTCTTTACTGGAATCATAGTGAAAAGGATAAACAATAACCTTTCATCTTCCAGTCTTATTGTGTTCACAGCATCATCCTCGTTACCTGTGTAGTGGCTACCTTTTACCAGCCTACAAGGTAACCTGACACTATCTGCCAAAACCTAAATTGGCAGAAGTAAACTGTCCACGAATTAATTTCCATGATCAAATAAGATATATGAGCATAAGCAGCAAGAAATCTACTTAGGTACAAAAAAATAGTTGTAGATGTCTGATTCAAGCAAGGCAGAAGGCAATCAATCAAGTCAGATCTACTTAACAGAGATCAGTTGAGATTGAAGTACCACAAGCAGTGAATTAGGGCAGAATCCAACGCAAGAGGTTCTCATTGTTTTAATATATACAACAAAAAAATCTCGGTATTCAATTCACAGCACAAGGAATTTGTTCAGTCAACCATCACATATGAATTCAATTAAACTTCGTTTTACTAGGTGGCCACTCAGTCAAGGATTTCATTACTAGCCACAAGTAGGATTAACCAAGAGAGTAAATCCAAGAAGAAGGTTTAGAAAATTACCTTGAAAAGCAGAGCACGATGCCTTGAGATACCAATATTTACAAATCCAATAGGGAATACACAAGTATTTAATGCAGCCTTGAACTCGCTGCTTTTTTCAGTCCACCTTGCCAATACAGTACTGGAATCTTCTGCAGATCCACCCATATGCTCTGTGACAAGTTCAGCCAGCCTCTGTACCAGCACACCAACACTGGTAGTAGGAAAATCCAGTGCAATGCATTGTGCAATCTGTAGCAACTCATCAAGGGAAGGGTCAATGGGTCGATTTACAACTACAGCTTCAAAACCAGGGGTTCCATGATTGCTTTCAAGATCTTCCAGCGATGGCATTTCTCCCTGCTTTGCTGAGTCCGTGGATAGACTGTACACATCGTAGAAACTATCGACAACTTTATCTTCATAGTCAAGCACGCCGTATTCCTAGGAATCATTCAATGAATGTTATTCATGTAAGATCATGGAGGCAGTACCAAAGCGGCAAGACATTTGGCCCACATAATTACGGTAAACTAAAGCCTTTCTATAAAGGCCAAATCTTCAGAGAGGAAATTAATTATGACTGGAGATTCGATAAACATAAAGAGAGAATTCAGCATTTGACAAGATAACAAGAGAAGACTAACCCAGTACTGTCTCGATAACCTCTGGGCGAGCATCTCCGATGAATCCCTCCTTGACTCCATCCGTTGATGGCTTCCTAAGCTCATAAGGGTGGCCGCTCGGATCTGATGCTTCTCCGGATCCTCACTGGAGAGCGAATTCGAAGCACTGATCGCTAGGGCTAACTGAATTTGAAATTCCTCCTCAGAAGACATGTAATCGGCACGGTTCGAAGCAGCTGTAGGAGAAGGAGAAGTCAGCAAAGAAGTAGCTCCGGTGACCGGAACCGTCTCGGCGACAGAAGAAGGGGTAGCTTGAGGAGGATTAGCAGAAGAAGCGTGAATTGGATTCTGATCGGATGGAGGAACAGCATCGTTGGTTCGATTGAGCTGCTCTTGATTCCCACCACGGTGAAGCTTCTTGAAAATATGCTTCATCGCTCTCTTTAGATTCTTCTTCCGTTGGTCAAAATCAAAAAAGTGGTGGGAGTGACGGAAACTTAGCCGGCGAGTTAAAGGAGGAGAGACTAAGTTTTTTCAGGATTTACAATTATGCCACTGTTTTGACCTTTTTGATAAATTATCCAATTAAGATGAAGAACGCATTAAGAGAAACGAGAAAATGTGACACGTCGCCATCGGGCCCCACACGCTGAATAATTATACGCGGCTAATGGGGTGAAAAAAATGTAAAAGTAAAAATTAATTACCAGAGTGAAAACGAGATGTACATATCAGTAAATCCATATACTTATAGGTTCCGCAGATTTTGAGCGGGAGATTCCGAAACGCAAATCCAAACTAGTCTAGTGTGCTTACTGCTTAGCATGAGTCTCTGTATGTATAATCTTTTTCTCTACGGTTCAATGATCATGAAACCATTCCTTAGCATTCTTCCATATCAACACATTCATCATAAGACTTGTAAACAAATAGAACCAAGGGTTTTGTACTTCTTAACCAAATTTATCTTCATTCATGATATTGTAAGACCTACATATCAACCAAACTTACAAAGTAGGCCACACCACATTCTCTTCTGTGACAAAATTTCAGCTTTATTCCTGCAAATCTAATTGGAAAACAAACAACAACCAATACAACAACAACAACTCTCAGCGCTCTGTCTCTCTGTGGAATGGGGCAGCCAACCATCATTCTGATTCCGAGTGTAACAGCTTGTCCTCGTTTCTGTGTATCGCTGGAACTGCTTTACCGGAATCCAGGCAACACGTGTTCACAAGTATATTAAAAAATCATTATCGATACCACTGATTAGATAACCATGATTCATAATTTAAATCTATAATTTTAAACATTCAACATTTACTCATCGATGAGATTGCAATAATATTGCTCCATATCATACTTTCAAACAGTCCATATCGGCATAAAACTCTTCTGCATTGCATTGTGTCATACTTTGAAGAACAAGCAGATTTTCAGGAACATACTTATTGATTATATTTGGACAGTAAGAATAGTATTTCTCGGCAACACTACTACATGAAGAAAAGTTGGAAATGTTCAAAAACTTACAGATAATGCTCGTTTTCAGCTTCTTCCTCTTGCCATTACTTACTTGGTCTCCACTATAGTTAATGCTCGTTTTCATCTTCTTCGTCTTGCTATTACTTCCTTGGTCACCACTGCTTATCGACTTGTAATCTCGTAAAGGATGATACTTCATGGATTCTAGCTCTTTTACGGCTATGTCATATCGCTGTTTTACCTCCTTCTGCAATTACGGAAAAAATAATTTAAGAGAATTAGAAAGTCAACTAGAGGAAGCGTGGAACATGATTGGAATACCCTAACTGATACTCACAAGAGCCCTATTCACACCCATGATTTGCTGCTTGCATAACTTTATCTCCATCTCAAGTGCACGCAATCGACCCTCAACTGGAACAGCGTTTTGCTCAACCAATTGTCTCTGTCTTCCACGTACGACCTCTGGCTGCCAAACGTTCAGAGCTACTGATGCTTGCCTGAGACAGACAACAACAAATAACATCAAAAGGATGAATGAGGCAAGAACAGTAGAACAAACTCCTTTTGCTTTTGATCAACAAAGAATCATCTTTTCAAACTATCACAACAGAAGAAGCAATCTGCTTTAGAGTTGGAGCTTATAAAATATGCGAAAATGATAAGAATGGTTTGGGAGTACCTCGCTTTGTGCAAATCTGAAAATTCCCGAGAAGCAGACTGTAACCTCTCAGCCTCTTCAGTCAATCGAGCCTCCAATTCACGAATCCTCCGTCTCCATTCAGAAATCTCACTCTCCTTCCTGAGTAGAGCTCTCCTATGGGCAGCTAATTTCCTCTCCTTGTCCCTCTCAAACCTATCCACCACACTCGTAGAGCTTGAAAACTCACACGCCGTGACACAACACAAGGAGCCTCATAAACACACAAATTTTGAATCAAAAAAAAAGAATACCTAGTCCTGTAGATAAACTTGGTGGGAAGTTGAGAAGAGGAAGCAGAGATAGTGGGGGTGGGGAAATCATGGAAGAGGAGAAGGTCCCAGAGGGAATCATCGGAGGACAAACGGCGGAGACGGCGAGAGGAGATGGAGATGCAGCAGAGATCTTTGTAGGAGAAAGAGGATGACTTTACGCCAACCTCCAGGATCCTTCTCCATAGCTCGTCGGGTATTTCGTTTGCGGACATTTCTCTTTCTAGGTTCTTTGAGGTTTGATCGGAGAGGGTTTTTATTCCCAATTTGTTTCAACAACACGACAAAACTGAAAATTTTAATTAAATATATATTTAAAAAGCTTTAATATGAACATACTGTATGTAGATAAATTATGATTATGTAAATATAAACATAGAAAAATGTCCCTAATGAGATACAATTAAGCATTGTAAAGGAGCTGCTGGTCACAAGAAGAAGAAGACTCACAGAAGTAACCCTCTCGTTTCCCTCCTCTCCTCTGCTTCCTCTAGAACCCCCACAAAAATGGCGTAGCCAAAGATCCCTCAAATTTGATAACGATGGATTCTTCTAGTATCCTCGATTCTCTCGGAGTTGAGATTATCGGCGTCATGGCTCCCGTCTCCATCTGCATGTTCCTCGTCGTCCTTCTCACCTACTCTCTCTCCGTTACCTCCGACCCTCAGATCCGTACCGCCGCCAACCTCATATACATCGAGAATCCCTCCGACTCCGCCACCGTCAAGCTCGAAGGTAGCCTCGCCAACGCCATCGTCTTCGTCGTCCTCGTTGCAGCCGTCACTTTCATCCTTGTTCTCCTCTTCTACTACAACTTCACCAATTTCCTCAAGCATTACATGCGCTTCTCCGCCTTCTTCGTCCTAGGTACCAATTTTGTTTCCTCCTTCACTTCTTCTTCTTAGGGTTTATTCGAATTCAATGTTGATTTTGTTCTGGATTATTGTTTCTCAGGTACGATGGGAGGTGCAATTTTCCTATCGATTATCCAGCATTTCTCAATTCCTGTTGATTCCATCACCTGCTTCATATTGCTTTTCAATTTCACCATCCTGGGGACTTTGTCTGTGTTTGCTGGTGGAATACCAATTGTGTTGAGACAGTGTTATATGGTTGTTATGGGGATAGTTGTTGCAGCTTGGTTTACCAAATTACCTGAATGGACTACATGGTTTATCTTGGTGGCTTTAGCTTTGTATGATTTGGTTGCTGTTTTGGCACCTGGTGGTCCACTTAAGCTATTGGTCGAGCTGGCTTCAAGCCGAGATGAGGAACTTCCTGCTATGGTTTATGAAGCTAGGCCCACTGTCTCCTCAGGCAACCAAGGGAGAAACCATGGCTCGAGTTTAAGGGCTTTGGTTGGTGGTGGTGGTGGTGGTGGTGGTGGTGGTGTTTCAGATTCTGGATCGGTTGAGCTGCAAGCAGTACGGAATCATGATGCAACCCAACTTGGAATGGGAAATTCTCATAATCTGGATTATAATGCTGTTGCGGTGAGAGATATAGACAATGTAGATGGTAATGGTAACGGAAACAGAGACGTTGTTGAGAGGTCACCTGTAGTTGGAAATCCCAGGGAAGGACACTTTGCATCTGCCATATCCTCAGAGCACTCAACCGCAGTTGGAACCAGAGGAAATATTGAAGATAGAGATACTGTTATAGATGAAGAAATGTCTCCTCTTGTTGAGTTGATGGGCTGGGGAGATAATAGGGAAGAACCAAGAGGTTTGGAGGAGTTGGATAACTATGTCGACAGCTCAAATAGAGGCATAAAACTTGGTCTTGGAGACTTTATATTCTACAGTGTGCTTGTTGGTAGGGCAGCAATGTATGATCTGATGACGGTTTACGCCTGTTACCTTGCGATCATCTCGGGACTTGGGTGCACTCTAATTTTGTTGTCAGTGTACAACCGAGCTCTGCCTGCTCTTCCCATATCCATCATGTTGGGAGTTGTTTTCTACTTCTTGACGCGGTTATTGATGGAGCCTTTTGTTGTTGGGATGACGACAAACTTGATGATGTTCTGATTAACCAAAAATTATAGTGGGACTAGTAAATGATATCCTGATTATGCTGGTTTTATCCATGTATTGCACCTTGTGCTGTTGTTTCAAATGAATGGAGCAAATATGTTTTTAGGGTTGAGCAATATTCTATGGGAAAAAACTGCTAATGTCAAAACATGTCTCTGCTAATTAAGCAAATGTGATGTAGACATTTCAGGTTTGACGGAAAACTTTAGGATTGATCTATCTGTGGTCCTAATTTTAATTTGGACAATACTTACCTTCATCGCTAGTTTAACTAATTAATACATTTTGTAGCATTATCAATATGTTTATTTTATATACAACAATATTAACAATTTATTTATTGTTGATGAAAAAACATATAGAGGTAGCAGCTGCCCGGCCTGCCCCGTCCCCATGGAATGAATACAGGTGCGTTTAGGCGATTTCACGAACAAGGAAATGCACTTGTTCACAACCAAAATACAATTCCTAGTTTCTAAATAAATTAGAAGAAAAAAATAAGTCACTAGAAGGTTGGTGTTTTTACTTATAAGAACTAAAGTCATTTCAATGTAATTAAGATTTCAAATATTTTTTAATTATGTTATTACTGCAATCAGAAGATATCTAAGCTTTTGAGTCAGGTGGCATGCATCTTTATGAGTTTGTTTCGTGTAATTTTGCTTCTTGGTCTAGTCGACTTAATCATGCCCAGTTATGTGATTACTCATGTCCACTTGAAAATACACTCAATATCAAAGGTCACATACAGCTGAAGTTGGTTCCGAACAATGAAACAAACACAATGCACAATAAGGCTGGTTTCTTTTTTTTTTTCTGGGAAAAAAAAATATTATGGAAGGCATCAATTGAAGGTGAATAAGAAAGATGAAGCATCTAGACATAGACGATGAAGCAGACCTAGGTGTGCCTAAGCAAATGGATTGCCTCCAGTAGAAGCAACAGGGCCTTGTGCAGCAGAATTCCTACATCCATATTAGGCAATAAGATAAAAGATAAGCTCCACAGAAACAAAAATATAAGGATTATGGTTTTTATCTTTTCTTCAATGGCAAATTACTATTCCATGGAAGCATTAATGAATAAAGGACTTCGTAGATTCTTCACTCATTGCATTGCAGAATCATATAAATTATCACACTGTGAAACTTACTGCAATTGAGATGTTGATGCTTGCCCTGCCATACATTTTAAGCCACCTGCATAAGTTTTTCAAGAAATTAGATAACCTACAAAGGCCTTTAAGTTTCCGAGGATGGGGCTTTCAATAGGGTTTTCAAGAGGTTTTTAGTTGAAATTTGAAGATATATGTAGTCTGACTGCACAACCATAAATGTTTCTTTTCCCCCCTCGTGTGAATATATCCAACTCAACCTAACGTGATAGAAGTAAGTTTCTTAAAGCAATATTTTGAAGGGGGCTTAACATGGGATACTCACTTGTGTTTGATATTTCATGCAAAATAGTGAGATGCTAAAATTTTTGCAGGACTGTAATAAACAGAAGGGTATAAGTATGAAAGTAATATTACCTTGTGCGACTGCTGGAGCAGGTAAGTATGAGGGTACAGAGTCTGGAACTAGCCACGGTTGTGAAACATCATTAAGGAAGGTCGGTGGTGTCTGGATATCAGGCAGTGCTTCTTGTAACGAACTCATGTCTAAGAACTGGCATTAAATACAACCACGAAAAAGTTAATCATAGAATTTGCAAGGCATCTTCTGATGTATTCATAAATACACACTTAATGCAGGGCATCGTCCACAATCTATATTGTGCTTTATCAAATGAACCATGATGCCATATACACTTTGCAAATATTATCAAACTCTAAGCTAAGATGAGCTACATTAAAAGGTTATCCTAAAAATGAGGCATGATCAACATCGAAGAAATTTTTACTGTAAATAGAACAGACATATAATGTGAAATAAGTGCATGGACACATGCCAAAAACAAAGCATATAATCTTATAGTCTATAAGAAGCATATATACAAAGAAAAAAGAGGCTTTTAGTCAGTTCATAATTAGAATTATGAGTAAAATTGTTGCAAGCTCAACAGCTCAGATGGTTTAAATGGTCAGGAGGAAAAACAGAAAGGGTGGTCAAGTCTTTTGGATAGATACTGAGCTTGGGAAAGTAGGGGATTCTCTAGAACTCATGCCTAGGCCTCTTTGGTTTGGAAAATTAAGAAAGGAATACTGTTTTGTTTCTTATCAAATCCGCATAATACATATCTACAAAAAATAACTATGTAATTACCCTGACCAAAATTTGAAGTCGTCATCCGACTTGGATATTTTAGGTTCTCTAGTTTCTAACAACATTGACTACACCATTGCATACAAATGATGGTGTGAGAACTGATATGATTGCAAGAAATATGCGTGAACAGGGATCAACATACCATATCATTTGAGTCAAACTCGGAATCATAGGGGAGATCAAATGGATTGGCTGACTTTTGTTCGATTACATGCTGCCAAGCTTCTTCCTGCGAATGAAGGTTTTAGTCGATGAAAGATTAAACAACGGATAGGCAAGTTTGAAAGATAGTCAATACTCAATAAGCATATAGGAGAAAACTGCAAAGATAACTGGAACCATAAGAGAGAAGTATACTGGTGCCATGACAATGTTCCCTGGAAAATCAAAACCAGAAGAGCCAGCAGGGAATCTGGCAGTTTGGGTGACACCATTGCTTAATTTCTGTGACTTGTCATCATCATTGAGGAATCAATAGTGAGATTCATCCAGAATACACTGACATGATAAAGGGAAAAGGGAAAAACCTCTACAATTTGTGGTTCCAAATGCTGTTGATCAATGTTAGATGGCGAAGTACTTGCTCCATCTACCAGTGGGTGAGTATTCGTACCACTGTCAAAAGGACTGGCCTCAATAGAGTCGGGAAAGGCATTCCACGGCTGCTCAAAACACGCGGGGTAAGAGTTAGTTCATCACATTCCCTAGTATGTATGCTAATCTTGTGAATGTGGAATGCTAATTACAGAATTTATTTGTCAGACTACACAGCTTTCCTAACTACATACATAAGATATGAGACCATTTGGTTCGCCCAGCCAAGATGAATTGGATCATCACAATTTTTATGAACAAAAGAAGTATCATTTTCAATGTCTAGGATGTGATAGCACATCAAGTATTGTCCTAAAAATTGATGTAATCGAAAAGGAAGAATAGAGAATTAAGACTAACCGGGGTAACAGTAACATTTTTAACAACATCAGAGAGATCATCCTGCCATGGACTTGATATCGACAAAGCATGCTGGTCCACAATTGATGAATATGGTGGCCATTGCATGCTCGTGCTAGGCTGTGGGATTCCTTCATCTTTTACTTCCAACTGGGGAACTCCAGAGGAGCTAATAACGTTTGTAGGTTTTGCAGAAGGCATGGGATTATCAAAAGAAGCCCATCCTTCGTTCTTAGGCGCAGACACGTCTGGCAGTCTTGAAGTAGATTGCTGACCCAAATTTCCAGCAAACAAATCTGTTGGGGTGGATGAGTACGTCTGTACAGGTTGATGAAATTGCATAGGTGGAGATCCGGGTGCTATAGAAGGTTGAACTGTACTGACAGATTGAGCCATTGGCGCTCCTGGCAACTGAAACAAATCAATAGGAGCCTCTGCTACTAAAGGAACATGAGTAGATCGGGGTGCTATTGAAGGTTTCTGGTTTCCTGCACTTTCAGGTACGCCTTCCCCTAAGCCACTCGAGGTATATGACTTGATAGACATGGAATTACTTTCAACTGATCTGGCACTCCCAGAAGATGTAGTTCTCTGGAGAAAGAAGTTGAAGAAAGATTGAGAAGTTGGAACATCAGTGAAATCACTTTTCCCACAAGAGGATGATTTTCAAATCTAACAAACAAACATTCTAGAGGATGTAGGTTGTTATTACCTGATGTTGCCTGCCTGGAAATAAATTTTCACTTGGAGGGGCATTTGAGTGGTGAGACTGGGGACTACGAAATTCAATTTCCTGCTGGAAATTTGGGGACTGTGTATCAGACCTGAACGGATCTCCTCCACTTGAAACAGAAAAATCTGAAGCCCTTGGCGCAGAGCCCTCATTTGCGAATTGGTCTTCAAACATATGATCACTAAAACGTCCAGGGCTATATACAAAACTAGAGGCTTTGGCATGAAGCCCTTTCACTGAAGCAGACTTGCCGGTAAATCCCAAGGGTACTTTCCCATAACGGCGCTCTTCATACTGATAATCGTAAGGAGGGCTTTGGGAGTAAGAATGATACGAGTTGGCCCTTCGAGTCACACTTTCAGAACTTCCATGCCCCTGTCAATTGTATTACAGGTAAAGAAATATAAATAAATGGTCTCCGCATGCATGCACATGTTGAATTTATAGCAAGTCAAAAAAAAACATTAAGCATCAGATATTAGAAGACCAATATGACAACCTTCGCCCTCAGAGCAAAATTGATAACCTTAAAATCCCTAATATTATTAGATTAGAAACTTCAAGTATAAAAATTTCTCTTAAAATGAAAAAGAAAGGTACTAGTGACAGGACCCATTTAGACCAAAAGTTTCACAAAATACTTAAATACATTTTAGCAAATCATTACCTAAAAAATTAAGCAAGCTATGATTTATAATTTTTTAAATGACGAAAAAGAAACTAGATCTTGCCTGACTATCTTGCGGAGGCTTGTCCGTCACATTTTCACCTGCATATTTCTTTTGCACATACACACTTTTGATAAATTCGCGAACTCTATCTGCATTACTGCCAAAGAAACAACATCAGTATATTTTCATGGGTCTTAACAAGATTTATAACAGAAACCATAATTTGTTCTGCTCTATCATGAATACCAACGAAAGCTAATTATATAAACCTGTTTTCTGGAAGTCTCTGGCGTTGATGGTCCCAATTTTTCAAATATATTTCTCGGGCACGCTGAAAATGGAAAACTCACATAAGCGACAGAGGGAAACATATATCTCCATAAACATTTAAAAACTGAGACTATAGCATCAATTCTACCTGATTACCACCATTTTGAAGTACTTCAACTTCTTGAGAAGTAAACTTTGACATTGATACAGACTTCACACGATGAGTAAATTCACGGCTGTAGTTTATTCCATAAAATCAATGGTAAATAACTGAAACTATGAGAGAAAAAGAAAAGGTGGGAACATATTCACTGCATCATGGCAGTGTGCCTTAGATAAAACAAAAATGCACAGCACACCACCCTAAACTTAAATATACATCAAGAGAAACCTATTAACCGCATATGTAAAGATGCGTAGCTGTAGAAAGAAATACTTCCGTATATACCTAAGATTACGGTTCTAATACTAAATAAACATATATTTCCTTTTCCATGAAAACAAGTCTCATATAAGAGTTGCACCCAAAAATATAAATCAAGACAAAATACATAAATAAAAAGGGAGCCACAGAATAGATTGAGATTATTTTGTTATGTTACAGTAGGAATAAAATAAAACGCACACGTCCGCCACAAACTATAATGATGTCGAAATTTAGCTCACAATGTGTCGACGAAATCAGGTGCATGAAACAAAACGCACAAGTGAACAACAACTAATGTCGAAAACTTAGTTCACAATATGTCGACGACAGGTGCACAGAATAAAATGAAAGCACACAAAAACAATCAAACATGTGATAGAAGGCATCTAAAGTGTATTTTGTAAGATAACGCATCATTCATGTTTCTATGGGATCATTTGTTAGTCTTGTCTGCAGAACGTTTAAACTGATAATTTTCACTCAATAGCACTACAATATAGCAGAAAACTTGACCGTGGGATGACCATAAGAAACCATCAGCACTCAAACTAATATATCAACTACGAAAATATGTTGAATGACTTAAACAAAAAGGTTACTTATTGCCACTTTAAAAAATTCTGGTAACTCAACAGTAGAAGTAGGACGATGAAGTAAATCAGAAGAATAAGATAAGAAAGCAGCATAAGAAGGGAACACGGAGAGGGGGTGTCCGGAATAGTTTGCAAATAAAGTATATAGATAAGTTGGAAAGAAAGAGGAAGGTACTCACTGTATCCCGCTACAAGCCATGCATACGAAAGTCCAGAAAGTCGTACAAACATATTGAGGGCCCTGCATCAGTATCATCAAGCCTTACTATAATAGCTACAATGAAACTAAATCCAAATCAAAGGAAAAAAAAAAATTTAGCTTTTCAATTTCCCTATTCGGAAAGCAAGTAGTTCACTTGGATTTTCAGATAAACTTAACTTAAAGAACCTGTCAAGGGACATAATCAAAACATTTACTAGCCTAGAAGAAACAAACGAAAGCCCCCAAAAAAAACAAAACTTTAAAAAGATAATCGAAATGATAACACAGTAGCTGAAGTCAAACACAATAGCAACGAAACCCATCAGCCCAAAACTCAGTTGATACAAAAAAAGACACTCACAGGAACCATTTCGAACCAATTAGGCCTTTATAAAATAAATAAAAAGGTGAAAGGGAGAGAGTGAGTAAAAGTACAAGGCTGTTGCAGTTGATACAACGACGATTGGGAGGAAGCTTCATAAGACCACGGATGATCTTCTCGTTCCTCTCTTCTTCTCTTTTACTTCCCATCATAACGTTTTAGATGCTGCCAGCAAGAAAAAAACTATAATCCCTCAAAAACGAAGATATTGACTCACGGAAGCGATTCGTGAAATTGGGGGAAAAAAGTTGGGCTTTTTGAGAAATCGACGATGTTGGGAGCTGGATTTTTCGAATGCTCTCTCTCTCTGTCTCTCACTGGAATTTGAATTTCACAACAGATGATGATAGAGAAAGAAAGAAACGCCTTTTTTTTTTTTTATCCTTTTGTTTTGATTGAGAAAAAGGGAAGAAGAAGGAGAAGAAGGAAACTCATGTTTCCCTTTAATTCGTCTTTATCTGTCTATGTGTGTGTGTGGGCTTTTTGGCTGACCCACACCATAATCCTCATTGATTGATTCAATCTAATCAAAAACCCAAAATTATATTCCATACCATAATGAACCGATACTATACTATTCCATACCATACCATAACAAAATTATATTCCATACCATAATCATCATTAGATATGGTTCGTTCGTTATACGTATGGTTTATATCATCTGTTACGTGGCTCAGTACGTGTTTACCCTAATGTTTTAACCAAGTTTTTATTTTACTTATACAATAATCTTTCTACACTTTACTTGTATCTAATCTCTCTTAACACTTTGATTGCATCTAAATATGCTTTAACCTTTATTGCATATCACACTTCATTTCTTACAATTGTACAAGTAAAATTATATTCCCTTTATTTTAAAATATACTTAATTAGATATTTTACTTGTTCAATATTTATATATCGAGGTTCATAAAACCAAAAGAGAAGTACAGTAACTTATTTACATATGATGTCCATGTTAATGTTTACCCCAATGTTTTTAACGAAGTTGTTACTGCATTTAATTAATCTCTTAACACTTTGATTGCATTTAATTAATCTCTTAACACTTTGATTGCATGTATAGATGTATAACTATTTCGTTCTTCCTCACATCCCTTAATTGTTTATCATTTATACCATTGACGTTCAAAGAGTGGTTGGTTATTTTGTTCTAGGTATAGTGGAGTTGTTGTTTCTCTTACGTATTGCATTTCTGATAAGGTACTTCTCTATATATTTGAAGGCAGGACTCAGGAGAATGATCTATACATACATATATATTGGTTATGTTCTGTTCATTGACCGAGCATCAAGAAATTAAAGATGTCAAAGCTTGTGCAAAATCCGGTGTTCCATGAACTTAAGAAGCAAGCTTCTTTCTTCATCAAGGAAAAGATCAAGACTGCTCGTCTGGCCGTAACAGATGTTACTGAAGAGGAATTGTGAGTAATATTTACTAAATTTATAGAAATCGTTCCTACTAAGCTTAAATCTAATAGTATAAGGTAACTTTTTAAGTAGTTATAAATTATGGTATTTTAGAAGATAACTCTTGAATACTAACGGGTTTTTGCGTTAAACCGTCCAAATTGAAGATTGACAGAAGAAGTTACGGGGAGTACTGCTCAATCGCTAATAGACGCACGTTCCATGGCGGTCATAACAAGAGCTTCTTTTGAGGTTGACCAGTTCCAAAGGATCGTTAGGATTCTACGTCAAAGGTTATATATTTTGCCTCACTTTCATATAAGCTGCAGAACAACTTATAATTTATACTATCATCTATCTAACCACCAGTAACAATTTCATCTTTTCTCGTAAATCCATCAATACAAACCTACACCATAAATTACAAAAGATCACCATTTAAACCATTAGAACCCGATAAAAATATATAGTTATGAAGTTCATCATGTTATTAAAATAAAACATTTAGTGTCGACAAAAGAGGAAGAGTAACTATTTTAGAGTCTATAAATAACTTTTGTACGCATTTTTATATTTTAGAATGGTAACGTTTGATAGAAGGGAATGGCGCGGCATCTACAACACGTTGTCAATGTTGAACCACTTGTTGATCAATGGCCCGCTAAGTATATTCAATGAGTTTCAACACGAGAGAGTAATTATTGAAGATGCCATTATAAATACCGAGTGGATCGATGAGAGAGGGTTCGACTGTGGTGTAAAAGTTCGAAACATAGCCGACAAGGTACTAAGATTGCTTGAAGATGACATGTTTCTCAAGGACGAGAGAGAAAGAACCCGTAAGCAAAGCGTTGGTCGGATCACAGGATTTGGGAGCTCGAGTTTCGTAATACATTCTGAAACGAACAGAGGAAGAGGCAGCTCGTTCTTGAGTGTCGACCACCAATCTTGTGAAAATGATTGTATCGCGGATGATCATCCTTTCGTCGAGAATGAACACAATACTGCTCAACTCTTGCTCTCTTCTTCGATTTGAGATGGATCCTCCCTTGTTTGTTGTTTGTATACTTAAGTTTGATCATATGTGTAGAGACAAGTTTTGCTTTTTTAATATGACTATTTCCGAGTAAATGGCTAAATCTACAAGTGACAAGTTGTTGTTTCTATCTAAACTAAGACAAAAGGGTTACAAAAATTTAGGCGTAAAAAGTTTGTAAATGCACCACGAAAAATATAATTTAAGGTCACGTGAGATTCATTTTTTGGGTCCGAAAAGTCACGTGAGAGTTTTTATTTGCGTAGTTGGTCCTTGGATTATATAGATCTTGCAACGGCGTCGTGACTAGAAGTATCTCCGGCGGCATCAGTTTCCTCTTCGATCGATCGATCGATCACTCATCACTCACTCATTCACTCGCCTGCTTCGTTGGATTCGCTCTTTCATGGTTGAAGAATGAGATCTCACCAAGCTGGCCGGAAACTGCCATTTCTTCAAGTTCTTTGCGGCGTCGCAGTTTTCTCCGTTTTCCTTTTCTCCATCCAATCTTCCTTCTTCGCAGGTCTTCCATCGCGAAAACCTTTCCATCTCTTTCCTTTTCCCATAACACTTCCTCTCGTCTTGAATTGTTCGAGTAACTAACGATTTTGGCTGTTCATCTCGCAGCTAGTAATACTCGTAAATTAGATCTTCAACAGGAAGATATCCAGATCTTGTCAGGTTTTCAGTCCAGTGTTCAACAGTGCGTGGTTTGTCTCCATTCCCAGATTTCTTTGATTATACAAATTCTTTATGGATTCTTCATTTTGGATTTGGATGTGTCTTCTTGTGCACTAGTTTTGATCCTGGATATTTCTATTGTTGTGATGTAATTGAATACATTTTCTTAGTCTATGTACAATGGGATCAAAGTATGAGATTTCTCTACCAATTTTACTGTTCTAGTAAGGTTAACCTTATGCCACCTTCTAGTGTGGAAGTTAACAAATATACTGATCTGGAAGCTCGTCTGCTAAGTTTTGTGTTGGAAGAGCCCATGTCATGGGATTTTGATGATATATTGTAGTTTGGAAGCTGTATTGGGAGTCAGAATAATGTTATAGGCTGTATATGCAGGCGAACAGAGGGCTTGGACTCTCTGCCCATATTATTGATCACTGCAATTTGATCCTCAAGTTCCCTGAAGGCACTAACAGCACTTGGGTATGTTTACATTTGTATGGTTTCTTTTTGAGATTTTCATTTGTTATAAAGTGATCAAGTTCTTTTCACCTTTACATTATTGTTTTTCAATGACAGTACAATGCACAATTTAAAGTTTTTGAAGCATTGGAGTTCAAGTATAATGTTTGTGAGGCAGTTCTCTTATGGGAGCAGGTTTGTGCTTCTTTCTTTCTCTGATTAGATTTTCTTGTTTGAGAACTTCCTAGGATTCTAATGCCTCTGAGTAATGCAGTACCGCAATATGACTACAGTTTTGACAAGAGAATACCTCGATGTACGCCCTGATGGATGGTTGGACTATGCAGCTATGAGAATTGCACAGCTGTATGATCCTAAACGTCTTGTCTAATGGTTTGCTTGTGCCATTTGATCTTTCTATTTGAGCTCTTTGGTCTTTTGGTTTTCAGGGGAGCTGATAAGTGTTATAATCGTACATTGTGTGAGGAGAATCTTAATGTGATCCTTCCTGCGAAGCCTCCTTTCCACCCACGGCAGTTTCATAAATGTGCTGTTGTTGGAAATTCTGGAGATCTGTTAAAAACAGAGTTCGGAGCAGAGATTGACAGTCATGATGCTGTATTTAGAGACAATGAAGCTCCCGTTAATGAGGTAGTTATATGTCTTAACACTCTGATTTGTAATTTCTTTGACTTTACCGATTGCCGTTTAGACATGATTTGTGATTTCGTTGCTGGGATTGCTTATATCCATGTTAACTTTGTTGCAGAAGTACGCCAAGTACGTAGGACTGAAAAGGGATTTCCGACTAGTTGTTCGTGGTGCAGCTCGTAACATGGTTAAGATTCTCAATGGGTCTGGTTAGTACTCATATTAGACTGAAAAGTTAATCTGCATCCTATGATTTGTTTTCTTCAAGCACTCATTATAGCTTTGCCCGTCTGATGTAACCCTTCTGTTACTGTCATTTACTGCAGACAATGAGGTGCTTATAATAAAAAGTGTGACCCACCGAGACTTCAACGAAATGATAAAGGTATGATTACTGTTTCCTTTGTTTTTTTCTCCATCACTAATTTTTTTTTTTTCCTAAACTTCCACTGTAGTCGTTTGTAACAGACTAACAGTGCCTCTTCAATAACATAATTGAAGAGACTGAACGTGGAATTCTTGCAGTCGCTTTTACATGGGTTACAGAGTGTTCTCATACGACTTTGAATTATTTTGTAACAGGGTATACCAAACCCTGTTTATCTTTTCCAAGGAATCGTCCTACGCAGAGGTGCCAAAGGAACAGGAATGAAATCTATTGAACTAGCATTGTCCATGTGTGATATCGTTGACATATATGGTTTCACCGTTGATCCTGGATACACAGAGTGGCAAGTATCCTAAATAAATTTTATCCATATTGCTAATACTTGCATTCCAAAGCTGTTTAGGAGATTGGAACTTTGAATCTGATAATAATTTTGCTTAGTAATCTGGAAATGCCATGTTTGATACTTTGAATCTGATAAATATGCTTCTAGAGAGTCATGTTTCCTCATTTTATATATGTATGATCAATATAGGACGCGATACTTTTCCACACCAAGGAAAGGGCACAACCCACTTCAAGGAAGGGCATACTATCAACTTCTAGAGTGTCTTGGTGTACAGATAATCACTTAAATACTTATTTCTATTTGCTCGACATCTTAAACCCTTTTGCGATCTGGCTGATGAGTTCATGCTTGGCAGGTAATCCGGATCCATTCTCCTATGAGATCCCAGAGAAAGGAGGACTGGTCAAGTGTACCAAGTCGTGAAATGATAAGCCGGGCTCATGCAGCTGCCTTACGCGTACAAAGGAGCCAACAGCCAGCTAGTTTGAAGAGGGATGGGTTAGGACAATTCGGTAACTGTAAAGTGTGGGGGAACGCAGACCCGAGAAAAGGACCTGTCTCGGGATCTCCGGACATGAGTGAGATCAGGAAGAAGTCAAATTACAAGAAATGGGAAGTGATGCCAATAAGGAGCTTGAGAAAGGAAGCGAGGGAGCACTACATCCAAATGAAAGGGGTGTCACAGTACAAGATGGATGGAAATAAACTGGACGATCTGGTTTGCGTAAGGCATCCACTAAAATGAGAGGCGTAAATGTTGTTCATCATCTTGTAAAGGTTCAAATTCAATAGCAACTTGAGCTGACAAAGTAAAGGTTCTACATTTCACTGAAATTTTGTTTGGAGCAATCTGTTTAATCAATTAGTTCACTGCGAAACTATTCCTAGTCTCTCATCTCTGTTGCAATTTACAATGTACAGTACGTCCTGAGCCTGAGGCAATCAGGTTATAGTATAACTTCATTTACTTCCAAAAGTCGATATTGGGATAAACAGAGTTCAGAGAGAGAGAGAGAGAGAGAGAGAGAGCATTTATTGATGTTCTTTTTGCGGGTAGAAGGATTCTTGAGAATGTAGGGGTGCGACAAAGAAACAAGACTTGTCCGTAATAAGGATCCTAAGGTCGAATAATTGGGCCCTTACGGTTTTGTTCTAGCGGGTATACCTAGAAAATAAGGAGATAACTGGAAATAGTTGGTGGAATAAGAAGATAACAAAATCCCCTATCCCTACTATAGTAAAAGAGAAGTACAAATGCTTTTTGGGTCGGGTTTTAAAAAAAAAATTTAACCCGGAATTTTTCAGTTGGATCTTACTAAAAATTTAAGGATATTAAATACCAGTTTCCATATATATTATTTCGAAATCTACCAAATTAAACCATCAATATCGGTTTGGGAAAGTACATTAATCTTAATTTGTTTAAGGAAAAATACATTAATGTATGATTTTGTATATTGGTTTAACAAATTAATCTAAAAATCAGAAATATAAATTAAATATAAAATAATCATTATCAAATTATCCATAATATTTCAAAACAAAATCTTCCTTAAATATACTATATTGATATTTGGATGTATAGTTTTCTCCTATATTAACTATGATCTTCACACCAGTTACGGGATATTTCATTTTCAACCATCTTTAATATATATTTTTTTTTCTCTATGACCATCTTTAATATTTATTTGGCAATAGTTTCGAATTTCTGGCTTGATTATAAAACTAATCTTTTTTCAATTTAACCCTAAGAAAATATGATCTATATAAATAAGTTTTTGCTACCAGAAAATTGTAACATCAACACAGATTTTACATTTAAACACGATAAGAAATAAGAAATCATTGGCTCTTTATTTGTTTATTCTAGAGATTTGCAACTTTACAAAACTGCATGAAAGGTCCAAGTTAAAATCATGTATTTATGATTATGCGGTGTACCGCGGGTCAATCCCTAAATTTTAAAAATGATTCACTGTATAATATTTTTGTTTTCATTGTATAATATTTATACATGTATATATGTCACATATTGTTCTAAAATTAACAATCCAACTAAAATCATACAATTTAAATAATTTTGAACATATTCGAAACCAACACATACAATCTAAAAATGATAAAATTTAATTACTGATCAAAATAAAGTAAAGCAAACACAAATAAAATTATCTCGCAACGTACAAAGGACTAAAAATCCGGTAATTTTCCTCCGCGTTGTAGCGCGGGTCCGGACCTAGTTCTACGTTAATTACAAAGTCTTTTCGTACGTATAGTATAATCTGGTTACAATAGCCACGAAACTGCAAAAGAATTGATGGAATATGAACTTTAGAAACTTCTTTTGATGAAGTCAAATTGTCTTCCAACGCGGACAAATCAACTGGCATAAACTGGAAAATTAGTTCGTGGAGTACAAATTTTTCATATTTTGTAAGTTAAATTACATGCTACTTTCGTACGTGTATTTTTGGGAATAATAGGCAGCTAATATAGCCACGAAACTACAAAAAGAATAGTTGATGAAGAAAAAGAAGTCAAGAAACCATCTTATATATTCT